ATTCGCGTGGTATATTATTATGTTCCGTAAATATGCCGCGAATGTAGGAACTGTGAATATGTAATGGCAATTTCGCGTCATTTGTAAAAGGTCGCGTTTACAAAGGATATTCGGTTGCATAACTATACATACTGGAATCCTTTTTATCAATGTGCATGTACCGATATACGGATTTGATTCGCGAATAAAGAAATCTATAGCCGCGGTTATAGGAATTGGGTCGCATTTTTTAATCCGAGATTAGTGAAAACGCGAATTAAGGCAGCGCAAAATAAAATAAGGAGCTTTTACTATATTCGAAACTTCGCAAATAATAAACTCGAGATTAATCCATAAAGATAGTTTTAATTATGTTTTACTACATCTATGTGTGCGCCAACTAAAATTAATTGGCCATTGTTGACACTTTTGTGCAAAATTGTGGGAAAATAATTAGAGGCATATTAACGTATTCAAACAGTCGATTTTTCGATTGGCTCATAACAGTATTTGGGTAGTTCCATGTTGTGACAATAACTGCATGTCAATGACCTACACATGGTGGTCGATCACGGGAACCCTCAGTGTCAGCTGGCAATCGATAAGCTGATAACGGAGTTATTATAGCAAACTAAGCCCTATGTTAATATCGTTAAAATCATTATAGCTTGGCATTAGTTAATGTAATTCGTTTCCGTAATGCACTGACACCCTGTTTGCAGCGAAGCGTGTTCAGGGTACCGGGTGTTTTCACATTAGATTCGTTTTGTGTGCTTAGTGTGAGTTTTTTAACGTTCTCGATAGCGTAAAAGTTAACTCAAATTTGTATGGAGTTGGAAATTTTGCCCATATTTGCCGCTAAGGGCGCTGTTCCAACTGTATCCGTCATTATGTCCAGTTTGTTACAGTACACATACGCTGTAATGCTGATGCCATTTGATAAGAAGTTGTGATGAATATTACCAGCATTTGGTCTAGACCAAACAGTGACCATTTTAGGGGTAAGTTTTCGTATATCGCAAGGCAATCTTTAACTTACTGATGGTAGGACCTCTTGTGAGTTCGCACGGGTAGGTAAAACCATCCTGCCTATTTCTGCCGCGAAGCAGTAATGCATTTCGGTTTGAAGGGTCGGGCAGCCGTCGTAACTATACTTGAGAACTTAGAACTTATATCTCAAGGTGGGTGGCGCATTTACGTTGTAGATGTCTATGGGCTCCAGTAACCACTTAACACCAGGTGGGCTGTGAGCTCGTCTAACCATCTAAGCAATAAAAAAATAAAAATATGAGGTCGAGAATTGCCAGGTAGGAACAGCAAGGGCGAGCGTTATACCAGCTGGCTAGCTGGCCATTTTAGGGGTAAGTTTTCGTATATCGCAATGCATACTTTAATGCGTTCGTCGCGCTGGTGATCGTTCAGTTCGTGTGGCACACACTTATCAAGTTTTTCCCTTGCCACTTTGACGCAAATGGACAAAGATTATTTTTATGGTAACTGCAGCTAACTCAGCAGTAAATTGAGTGAGTATTGAATGGTCAACAGTCGACGTCGCCTTAAACACGATATTTCGGATCTTGCTGAACCACTAACGGTGCTTTTAGGTAAGTACCTCAAGCACCGGTCACCGTTCTCGTCGAACCCGTCGCTTGCGACGAAGGGTTCGGCGAGTAAATTAACCCACAGACACAGCCCACTGAGTTTCTCGCCGAATCTTCTCAGTGGGTTGCGTTTCCGATCTGGTGGCAGATTCTGCGAAGCATTTCTGGCTAGGGGGTTAGTGTTAGCAACGTCATCAGGTTAGAGCCCCGTGAGCTCCACTACTAGTTCTGTGAATCTAGTATAGCCCCTTGAGGTTACTAGAAGGAAAAAGGAAAAAGCATGGCTTTTTTTGTACATGATGTCCCTTAAACAACGATGACTGATAGTCATAACAGGGTCTTAAAGATTTTCAACCTAATCTCGATGGATTAAGTTTGGTTGTTAAGTGTGTTCCTGTTTGAACAGTAGGGACCGTTGTTTTAATGAAATTTCGATTATATATCCCTAGAGGATGAGATACGATATACGCGTAACACCAGCTGAGCCGGCTGTCCGTTTGCGTGTTCCAGACTTAAATATAACATTGATTTTCCCATCGAGACTATTTTAACCAAATTGATTTACAATTTCATTGCGAAAATTACTAAACAGTAACAATGAGCGAGTCATGATTGTTTTGTGCTCGGTAAAATAGGAGATACGCTTCACGTGACACCCAAAATAAGGGTTTGTCGACCTGGGTGTTTGAAATTAACATTTGGTTCGCATTCATTTAGTTTCGGTTGTAATTATAAACGTACTTTACTTGTCAACTGGCCTTCCGCCCTTAGAATCGCCCGCGTGGGATAAACTTAATATTCCATCCTCACTTACTGAGTGATGGAATGGAAGAACCCATTCCAAGGATTCAAACTGTTCCTATACTGAATTTCGTCCAAACAAATTTAGTTATTTAAGTGTGAAAACGCAAGAGTTACTTTGAATTGATAAGTAGCAGCGACTGTTACGGCATCCATCTAATATATTAAAACGGATAACACAGCTATAGCGCAATTTTTAACACATTTTATAGCGCGATTTATATTGAAAATAAAGCCACCTAACGAGTAGTAAAGTTAGTAATTTAATAATTACTTACAGTATGTTTTTCGATTTTCGTGAGTTGTAAGACATAATTAGATTATATATTTTAAAATAAGATAGTAAGCAATAAAGATAGTAAGTAGTTTTTGTTAAGTAAATCAATAATCTGGACTTTGACAGGACGTGACCTGGAGTAATTTCAAGTAGCAAGCGCAAGACAGGGTCATGAGGAGACAACTTGTGAGGGATTTACCATGATGTACAGGGATGTAGGGATGTACTAGCGGGGTACCGTAGGACAACAACAACAGCAAATCAAACTAACATGTCAAAAATCTGTAGGATGAAACAAATATCAGGAATAATAAAAGGAATTTAATTAAGGCGATATTGAAGTTTAATTACGTATTTCTATGACTTTTCTCTCATTTTCTGATGAAGAAATTACAACTATTTCTATTGATATTTTTCTAAAAAATTATGTAGATAAAAACATCTCAAAATTTTATAATATGTGATATGAAATCAAGCCTTTCCAAATTCATTAACTTAGGTATTTGTTGTTACCTAGTTGTTGAATTTTTAACGGGTGCCACATCTACTCAACATATTATTATTATTAATTTTAATAGTTTTAAATGCTTATGATTATACTTAAAATTGGCAGATATGACCTTTCTGGCTATATTAGTGTAGTTAGCCACAATTTATAATAATAAAGGTGAAGCTTCCATTACCCAGAACAAAAATGTAAAGAAATAATTGCTAGTGGTAGGACGGCTTGAGAGTCTGCACGGGTAGGTACCACCACCCTGCTTATTTCTGCCGTTAAGCAGTAATGCATTTCGGTTTGAAGGGTAGGTCAGTTGTCGTACTGTTAAAGTGAGACCTTAGAGCTCATGTCTTAAGGTGGATGATGGCTTTTATGTTGTATATGTCTATGAGCTCCGGTTACCACTACACCAGGTGGGCCATAAGCTCGTCCATCCATCTAGGCAATAAAAAAATAAGCATACAATGTTTAAAAAAAATTTGGCTCTAAACTTTTACTTTAGCAACAACTACCACTTTTTCTTTCCTTTTTATCTTTCTTATGTACGATTACCAGATTGCAGGTGGGCGTCTGGCTGATGAGGTATGTTAGTCCAACAGACTGCCGCATTTGTAAGCCAATCACTTTTTAAACAAAGGCCCATAAGTAATTGTGTTTGAACCTTCTAATTTCTTGTAGTTTGTTTTCTTGAACATAACAAGGTTTTGTTCTACACTTCTTTGATGGACTTTGTAGATGCTCATTGAGTTTAGTGGTTTCCAAGAAGAATTGCATACGGTTTGACGGATTGTACTTTAATATAACCAGAGGAACATTAGAATACTTCTCCGAGTTCTGTAGTTCAGCATCATATATACAGGTTGGTTTTATGACATCATTTTGTTCACTGAAATACATATCGTCGCTTGAAAGGCAAAAGTGACTAAGCGACAATGCGTAAACTTTACAGTAGACTAATTTAAAGTTGAAATTAATTTAAAATATACACGAGAAATACCTGAAAAAAATTATATTTTAACGAATCTAGCTGTAGGATTAAAATTATTTTAATAGACTGATTGATTTAAATATTTTTTTTTGCGCATCGAATATGGTTATTGGCTATCATTTATGTACAAAGCAGCTATTGTCGCTTAGTCAGGTTTGCCTTTCAAGCGTCGATATGATATGCCCCTTAAGAGCCAATTCAGTTCCCTTCGCTTTTTGAGCCATCTGTTTTTTTCTCAATATATATTCTTAGCTACTTTCGATTTATATTTTACATAAGTATATTTGGGTTGTTGAATTACAGTCTGCCTAGTATTAAGTCGTCACTGGAGGCCATAGCCATCACATCATAAATGTCACTTTTATCTCAGATTTCAAACTAATGCATGAGGTTCGTCGCAGAAATAGGAGATTTGTTGTTTCTTCATTTCTAAGTTTTTTTTTATTGCTTAGTTGGATGGACGAGCTCACAGCCCACCTGGTGTTAAGTGGTTACTAGAGCCCATAGACATCTACAACGTAAATGCGCCACCCACCTTGAGATATAAGTTCTAAGATCTCAGTATAGTTAAAACGGCTGCCCTAACCTTCAGACCGAAACGCATTACTGCTTCACGGCAGAAGTAGGCAGGGCGGTGGTACCTACCCGTGCGGACTCTCAGAGGTCCTACCACCAGTGTTAAAAATGTATGTTTTGAATTCTCTGGCATCTAAATATTAACTAATACATTTCGTCTTTTAACATTTTAGAATTCAATTAATTTTAAACGCACTCGGAAGTATTTAAAAGTAATCGATTTCTACACAATCTTATCATAAATTTCGCGAATGCAAGATAACAAGTCCCATTACTTACTTGTGAAACCTGTCCGTGGACATTTTTGTACTTCTTTTTTTTTCACACTACGAACAATGATTTGAGATCCAAACGAGGTCCGACAAAAGTTTATTCAACTCATTTTTATCAATTCCATAAATTTAACACATAAAAAATTCCTTAGGGAAAGTTCTTTATTTTCACTATATTTTTAAACTTAAATATCAGATAACTTGACGACAAAATTATTTAATTATATATAGTATTGGTATAATTGATTTATTTAAATTTATTATTTATATAAAATGTTGTGCACAAAGGTACTTTTAATTCAACGCGAAAAATAATAACAATCTCCTAACAGAATAACCGTCAAACTTAGCCAAAATCTAAGCCACAGACTAATAAATATCATTAGAGGATACTTTCGAAACAATACTTTTCAGAAAACTGACTTTTGACAGAGGCGAATGCCACAGAGTAGGAGGATGGAAAAAATGTATTTGGTCTAACTTAACGCCAATGCACATTATTTCAGTTATTTATTTTTTAATTTTTTTAATTAAACTGTATACCAATTAATTGCTCCTTCAGGATTTATATTTGTTTTTTTTTTTCACGATTAAAACCGCGTAGGAAGTTTAGGCATTATAGTTGACGAATGCGCAGTACACATATTTTGCATACATTTATTCAACTAATAAAAATAGTAAATTAAACAAAAAACGAGTAATTTCGAAAAAGAACAAACGTGTTTTATATAAGAACAATCGAAAATGAATATTTACGAGTCATTAAGGATGAAAAAATATTAAAAATTGCATTAGAGGGGCTAACTTGTAGGTATATTTTTAAATATTTTTTTTAAATAAATAAATGCAGAACAAACAATTATTAACAGTGAACAATCATGAACAAATGATGAACAAACGAATTAATAGNGATCGTAAGTATTAGATAATGTTTTGGAGATTTGGAACTTTATTACTAGGTGGCATAGTTGTAATTAGTTTGAACTTAAAACTGTTTCAAAACTTTTTTCTCCGTTTGTTGTAAACCAACGTAGCTATGTATGTGTATATTCACGCGGACAGTTTTTGCTTCGATTTTGTACGTGTCCCTTTATCTAGTTACTATTGTTGATCGAAGATCTTATAGATTAAAACGTTTAATAGAGATATAGCGCGATTAATCTATTCTATATTAATGTTATAAAGAGGAAATATTTGTTTGTTTGTTTGTTTGTATTGAATAGGCTCTGAAACTACTGAACCGATTTGAAAAATTCTTTCATTGTTTGGAAGCTACACTATTCCCGAGTGACATAGGCTATAATCTTTTTTGGAAAAAAATTAGGGATCCTTACTAAAACTCCAATAATGTAACCCAAGGTGTAAAAAAATTACCTAATATATTCTTTACATCGCGTGCCCTGCGAAAACTATTGATGATAGAATGAAATAATGCACTACGACTTTTTTACAAAAAGTGTCGCGACAGCATATGTCTAACTATTATAGTTATGCCGCAATAAGTGTTCTTTTATTTTAAAAAATAAAACAACGTCAAGTATCGTTGAATTTTTTGGTTAAAGACCCGAGCGGAGCCGGAGCGGGCCGTTAGTATTGAAAATAAAGCTATCTACTATCGAGTAGTATAGTTAGTAATTTAATAATTAGGGTATGTTTTTCGATTTTCGTGACTTGAAAACATAATTAAATTGTATATTTAAAAAAAGGATAGTACGTAGTAAAGATAGTTTTTGTTAAGTAAATCAATAATGTGGACTTGGACAGGGCTGTGGACGTGACCAGGAGTGATTTCAAGGAGCAAGCGCAAGACAGGGTCAAGAGGAGACAGCTTGTGAGGGATGTACCATGATGTACGAATGTACTAGTGGGGCACCGTAGGACTACAACAGCAACAGCAAATCAAACTAACTAGCATGTCAAAAATCTGTAGGATGAAACAAATATCGGAAATAATAAAAGGAATTTAATTAATGTGATACTGAAGTTTAATTATGTGTTTCTATGACTTTTCTCTCATTTTCTGATGAAGAAATTACAATTTTTTCTCTCAGTATACATATTTCTAAAAAATTACGTACATATAAATATGCCAATATTTTATAATATGTGATATGAAATCAAACATGTCCAAATTTACTAACCTAGTTATTTGTTGTTACTTAGTTGTTAAATTTATAACAGGTGCCACGTCTACTCAATGTTGTATGATGGATTTTAATAGTTTTAAGTGCTTATGCTTATACTTAAAATTAGCAGATATAACTTTTCTGGCTATATTAGTGTAGTTAGCCACAATTTATAATGATAAAGGTGAAGCTTCTATTTCCCAGAACAAAAATATAAAGAAATAATTGCTGGTGGTAGAACGGCTTGAGAGTCATCACGGGTAGGTACCCCCACCCTGCCTATTTCTGCCATTAAGCAGTAATGCTTTTCGGTTTGAAGGATAGATCAGTCGTTTTACTGTTAAAAGTGAGACCTTAGAACTCATGTTTTAAGGTGGATGATGGCTTTTATGTTGTAGATGTATATGGGCTCCGGTTACCATTTAACACCAGGTGGGCCGTGAGTTCATCCACCCGTCTAGGCTATAAAAAAAATAGACATATAATGTTTAAAAAAAATGGTTGTAAACTTTTACTTTAGCAACAACTACCTCTTTTTCTTTTTTATATTTCTTATATACCATTACCAGATTGCAGGTGGGCATTTGGCAGATAAGGTATGTTACTCCAACAACTTTGATGGACTTTGTTTGTAGATGCTCATTGAGTTTAGTGGTTTCCAAGAAGAATTGTATACAGTTTTAAGGATTGTACTTTAATATAACCAGAGGAACATTAGAATACTTCTCAGAGTTCCACAGTTCAGCATCATATATACAGACCGGGTTTTATTGGTTTTATGAGATCATTTTGTTCTCTGAAATACATATGATATACCCCTAAAGAGCCAATTCATTTCCCTTAGCTTTTTGAGTCATCTGTTTTTTCCTAGAATATAGATATTCCTAGCTACTTCCGAATTATTTTTTACCTAAGTATATTTGGATAGTCGAATTACAGTCAGCCTAGTATTAAGTAGTCACTGAAGGCCATAGCCATCACATCATAAATGTCACTCTTATCTCCGCTTTCAAACTAATGCATGGGGCTCGTTGCAGAAATAGGAGATTTGTTGTTTCTTCATTTCTAAGTTTTTTTTTTTTGCTTAGATGGATGGACGAGCTCACAGCCCACCTGGTGTTAAGTGGTTACTGGAGCCCATAGACATCTACAACGTAAATGCGCCACCCACCTTGAGATATAAGTTCTAAGATCTCAGTATAGTTAAAACGGCTGCCCTAACCTTCAGACCGAAACGTATTACTGCTTCACGGCAGAAATAGGCAGGGCGGTGGTACCTACCCGTGCGGACTCCCAGAGGTCCTACCACCAGTGTTAAAAATGTATGTTTTGAATTCTCTGGCATCTAAATATTAACTAATACATTTCGTCGTAACTAATACATTTAACATTTGAGAATTCAATTAATTTTAAACGCACTCGGAAGTATTTAAAAGTAATCGATTTCTACACAATCTTATCATAAATTTCGCGAATGCAAGATAACAAGTCTTATTACTTACTTGTGGAACCTGTCCGTGGACATTTTTGTACTTTTTTTTTTCACACTACGAACAATGATTTGAGATCCAAACGAAGTCCGACAAAAGTTTATTCAACTCATTTTTATCAATTCCATAAATTTAACACATAAAAAATTCCTAAGGGAAAGTTCTTTATTTTCACTATATTTTTAAACTTAAATATCAGATAACTTGCAACAAAATTATTTAATTATATATAGTAGTGGTATAATTGATTTATTTAAATTTATTTACATAAAATGATGTGCACAAAGGTACTTTTAATTCAACGCGAAAAATAATAACAATCTCCTAACAGAATAACCGTCAAACTTAGCCAAAATCTAAGCCACAGACTAATAAATATCATTAGAGGATACTTTCGAAACAATATTTTTCAGAAAACTGACATTTGACAGAGGTGAATGCCACAGAGTATGAAAGCCCAGTACTACCTAAGATATTAACGCTACCTAGTGAATACTTACTTCATTCTTAAATAATAGTGTAAAAAATAAAACGGTGTTTTTATTTTTAAAATAACTACTCAAGACAAGAATCTTTAGAAAGTGTTTTAATAAAATTAAGAGGTTAGAAAATCATGTTAATCAATGTCCGTAAACAAATTAATATGAATGCCATTTAAATTTACAGTAATAGCCGCGTGTGGTTGTTATTATTGGTAGCCTTCTACTTTCCATCGTTAATTGTGTCATTACTCGTGTAAATTATATTAATGCTTACTATTACTACTTATCATGTTAGGATTCTGAGGACCATCTCATAAATAAACATCTGTTAATGTAAAATGAATGCTGGAATCAATTTTAAACATATTTGTATAATGAACATCAGAACAACGTTATTTAATTAAACTAAAAGTATGTTCCTGACATATCTTCGGTGAAGAATATCTGTGATTGTATAAATTAAGTTACAGCCGTGATTTGAGATACTTGAAGAAATGGGAATAGCTTTTAGCCCCATCTTGTAGCATCCGAATAAACTATCATGAAACGACAGTAGTGACATCTAGTAGGTCTTATAAAAATAACAATTGCATTTCGTGATTCTATTCGACAACAGATGGCAGTAAATGCCCTAAAAATTGGTGTTATTTCGTTTTCTAAGAATTTTAGGCAAATAACGGAAAAAAGCGTATAAAAAGGGATCTCTCGTAAGTTTGCTCTTTCATACGTTTTAGGTAGGTGTAGCTGCTGTATGCCTATTACAGCATGAACATGTTAGACAGTATTGTTATTTTTCAAATAACACTGAAAATAATCCCTAACGATAAGTAGTCGTGACCTAAAGGCTCTAACACTTCGGATATATAATAATATGATGAAGAAAGCATCAAGCGACCCTACTGCTTCTACAACTGTATCAAACTACTGATTTTCACAAGAAAATACTTACATATATATGAAAAACGGATTAATTTTGCGAAATTATAAGGCCGCAGCTCCATGATGACCTGGAGCTTGACTCAGTCAGTAAGTATCTACAGTCGGTATCATTGCGCCACTTTGAAAAGGC